AAAGTTTTTCAACCTAAACACTTTGAGCTACACTATTTGCCATCTATTGAAATGTTTACTTCTTCTCTTCTTGTATTCATCTTTGGATCTATTGAAGAGAAGATTTCACTTGTAAAACACTTTTGAATCGAGGGTCATATTGAGGTCCTGTAAAGTTCAATAGTTTGGGTCGTATTGAGGTCTCGTAAAGCTTAACATTGTAAAAAGATCAGTACTTCTTGTTTGTAAGTCACCGGAAGCGTTGTAAAAGGTTGGATTGCATCATAAGTCAATCAACATAGTGAAAAAGACATTGCTTGTACTGGAGAGCTTGGTAATGGGTTACGTAGATCATTGCATTGGATCGAACACCCATATCATATCGTTTACACTCTATATCCATTTAACTTAACGCTTCTACCTGGTGCAAATTTACATTACTCCATTTACGTGCTTACTTATGTTTAAATTATTCATTATCATTTTTGTGTTCATTATTATTAAAATCTTGAGTTGTTAAAGAAAAAGTTTTAATAACCAATTCACCCCCCTCTTGATTATTCAATCTTGGGCTTTCAGAACTCAATTTGATTAACTCTACACTTCTACTAAACTCCCTAGAGTTTCTTCATTTGTCTTTCATATTTTCTGCAAACCTCAAATTCCACTTTTTTTTTGAAATTGGATACCAACATCAACGCGAAATAAACAAGTTTGTCTGAGTTCATTTCAAATTGTCAAACCGTTGACTTTTACTCTTTTCTATTTTGTCTTTTAGCCCTTTTTAGCAACCATCGAGGAAAAAAACACAAATTTTTCGGCTCATTTGAAAATTTTTCGGCTCGTTCAATGTAATGGTACATCTATAGAGGGTCTAACACAAATCTTTTTATTTTTATTTTTTATCAAACGTATCATGTTAAGACAACTGAATCACTCTCGTAAAAGATCACTTTATATGTAAATAAAGAAATGAATACCTCAACAACTGTAAAGAGCTCTAACAAGTGAAAATGAGCTAAGTAAATACAGGATAATCTTTATCTAGGTATACCACAAAAGTGCTTTAAAATAATGAAATACGACAATTGTTAAAAAAATTCAGTTG